GGAGAAGGAATTGCGGCGTGACCATCCCCCCTGGGGGGCGATTTCTCGCTTTCTGTCTCTATGTCTCTCTCTGTCTGGCGAGCACACGCGCCCTATAGCGAAAAACTCTCAAAAAAAAACTGAATGTCTGTACTCTATGGCAGAAACAAAAAGGCTGGAAGGCATATTAGCAGGGAGGGTAGCTGTAGACACTAGAAATGGTATAAGAAGGGGTGGGTAATGAGTTGGTAATAGGGGGTGGGAGGTTGGGGATCAGGGTAAAAGCAAACAAAACATAATAGACACAAAAATGAAGAGATACCTGCTTATTATGTATAGACATATGGTAATATTTGATTTAGCAATATACACATGGAGACTCTAGTAATGTTCAAGTCCATAGTAGATGTGAAAATCACAACACAAGGAGCTTTTGCAAAAATGCTGGGTGGCCAAGAACCCACATGGATGATTGTGGTTTGAGTGCCAGACTAGGAGGTTTCAAACTCATACCAGAAGCATGTGTATGCATGCCCAAAATTCCAAGAGGAGGAGAATGAACTTTGGTATGGTCCCCCAGGGAGGGATATCTCATTTTCTCTGTCTCTCCAGCAAGCATCCTACAGCAAAAATCTCTTTAAAGAAAAAAAAAGGCAAGGGGCGGGGGGGAACAGGGCATATGTAATAATAATAACTGTTGGAAAGTAATGGAGATTAGCATATTTAGTTTTCAAATCTGCCCCACTGCCCAGCCATATATCTTACCAATCCAGAATGCCAGGTGCTGGCTAGGTTCCAGATGGAATGTTGAGATGTTGGTTGTGGCTGCTGCATCCATAGTTACTGGGCTAGGCCCTGTGGTGGCTGTAGTGCCATGGAGAAGCTGCAATCCTATGTGAAGCTTGGCTTTGGGCCGATATTGGGAAGCTGGATGAGGTGTTAAAAGAGCCATTGTCCGACAATTGTAAGTCCTAGGTAAAAGTAACTATTTTCTAGGTACATATTATTGAAAAAAGTGAGGTAATCTTTTTTTGTTTATTGTTTTTGCTTTTTTATATTTCTAAATATTTTTTTTAAATTGTATACATTCAATCACATTATTTAGCTTACAAAGTGAACATTTAAATATGTGAACATTTCTCTCCAGTCCTGTTGATCAAAATATCTTAAACAGATAACACACCTCCCCATCTGGTCAATGCTCTGCCTAACTATCCATCCTCCAAATGTCCTTCCCCAGGCCCCACTTCTCCACACACACTGCATCTGGCATTCACACCCATCTCTTGTGTTTGTACATCCATTAGTCAATCAGTTTCAGTCAGAGTGCAGACACTCAGTATATATTAAGTGGAGCCATACAATGTCTCTCATTCATAGCCTAGCTTCCTTTACTCAGCAGTAAATCTTGCATATTTATCCACTTTCTATCAAAAGCCAGGGCCTTGTTATTTTTTATGGCTGAGGTATTAGTATTCCATTGAGTATATGTGCCACGGTTTTTCAATCTATTATTCATCAGTACAGGGGCATTTGAGTTGGTTCCGTGTCTTAGCCATCGTGAACAGTGCCACAATAAACATAGATGTGCAAGCACTTTTCCAATGAGGAATTCTTCAATCCTTTGGATAGATACTAAAGAGTGAGATTGCTGGATCCTATGGTAGTTCTATTTGTAGATTTTTGAGGATTTAAGTTAAAACTGCTTTTCTTGAAATTATCAGCTGAACTTGCTATCAAAAGTAGTTAGATTATTAAGAAATTGTGTGATCAGGGCTGGCAAGTGGCATGTGGTTAAAGGCGCTGGACTCCCACATGGCCGACCACGGTTCAAGTCTTGGACCTGGTGGCTTGCTTTCTCACTTCCTCTCTCTCTCTCTCTGTCTCAAACTGGAAAATAATAATGATAATAATAATAAATAAAGTTAAAAATAAAATAATTCTTAAAAAAAAAGAAATTGTGTGATCCATAAAATGTGGGAGGAAAAGGAATGGAAAACAACTGTAGACACCAGAGATAGTGTGGGAGGAGGGTGGAAAAGGGCAGAGGGTCAGAAATAGGGATTTTATATATATATATGTATGTATATATATACATACATATATATATACACACATACACACACATATATTTATATACACATACATATATATGAAAGTAAAAATGGAAAATTATTGATGATAACATGCATGATTAAGCCACTATGCAGTATATTCTGGATTGATGGTAACATGCATGATTAAGCCACTATGCAGTATATTCTGGATGGGAAATCACATTTTGTAAGCTATGATGATGCTTAGGGAATGAACGTAAATTAATTAATTAAAAACATGTTTCAGAAAAAAAAGCTCATGGAAAAATGTGTAATGGGAAAACTATGTATGAGTTTCAAAAAGTTTTCATACTGAAATAAATTCATATTTTACTTGTTAAGAAAAAAATCAGTTGTCTGTATGTTCTGGAGTTTATTTCTGGGGTCTCTATTCTGTTCCATTGGCCCACATGTCTGGTTTTGTGCCAATACCATGCTGATTTGATTATCACAGCTCTGAAATATATTTTGGGGTCAGGGAATGAGATGCTGCCCACTCTACTCTTCTTGTGTAGAATTGCTTTGGCAATACCGCCTCTTTTATTATTCCAGATGGCTTTTATGATTATCTTTTCTAGATCTTTGAATAATGTGTTTGGTACTTTGATTGGCACTGCATTAAATATGTAGATTAATTTGGGTAGAACTGCCATTTTGATTATATTAATTCTTCCCATCCAGGAACATGGGATATCCTTTCGCTTATTTGTGTCATTTTCAATTTCTTTTTTTAGCTTCTCATAATTTTCCTTGTGGAGGTCTTTAACTTCTTTGATTAGATTTATTCCTAAGTATCTTATACATTTTGTGGCTATGGTAAATGGAATAACTTTTTTCAGTTCTATCTCAGTTTGCCTGTTGTTCACATATAGAAATGCTATAGATTTCTGTATGTTGATATTGTATCCTGCAACTTTACTGTATTCCTGCATTACTTCCAGAAATTTTTTCATGGAAATCATTGGGTCTTCTATGTACAGATTCATGTCATCTGCGAATAGAGAATTTCACCTCTTCTTTTCCTATCTGGATGCTTTTCATTTTTTCCTCTTTTCTGATTGTGTTGGTGAGGACTTCTAGTACTATATTGAAAAGGCGTGGAGAAAGTGGTCATCTGCTCATAAAGATAATTTAACTTCTTCTTTTTCTAGGTGAATGTCTTTTATTGTATTCTCTTGTCTAATTACATTGGATACGACTTCCAGTACTATATTGAAAAGAAGCGGTAAAAGTAGATTTGCTGAGAGTCTTGATCATAGAGGGATGTTGTGTCTTATCAAATGCTCTTTC